AGAGGGAACACTGCTCACTTCCCCCATCTCGAGTGTTGAAGGGGTGGGATGCAGTCTGGCAGCTGTGAGGCCGAGGCACTATTCTGGTCTCTCTCCTCTTGGGACAGAGTTGCTCTTACCCTCTTGGGGCCCCCGAGGAGCCTGAGAGAGGTCCCCATCGGGGGTCTCTCTGGTGGGCTCTGCAGGATCCAGGTGGCCACGGAGGGTGTGGAGCAATGCTCCCTCTAAGCTGTGGAGTCTTGTGAGCAAAAAGTCTACTTTGTGAGCGACTGGCATTCAAGTTGTGAGCGAGCGATTTGGCTGCTGCATCAGTTAGTTGGCTCTGGAGCCCTCCTTCCTGAGCAAAGACAAAAATGCATGAGCTGGAGGCTGAAAAACGGTGAGCTAGCTCACACTAACTCAGCGTAGAGGGAACACTGGTGTGGAGGTGAAATTAAGAGCGCCTCCAGCTGGGGCAGCCCATCCCGCTGGGCGATAGAACAGCAAGCAGGCCAGGCGGGGAATCCGGTGGCACCCCAGCCCCGCCTTTAGGCTCTTTCATTCCACGACTCCGGCGGACTCTGCCACTGTGAGTCATTTGAAGAAGGGCTTTCTTGTCTGTGCGGCTGGACAGACAAGCCTCCCCGTCTGCTGCAGAGGAATTTCATATTCCACCCCTGCCCCCACCTCCAAATAGCTCCAGGTCCACACTCGTTTTCCACAAATGGAGAGCGAGGAAGGGGGGCTGGGGGGCAGGGGAGACGAGGACTCCTCTACCAAGTGCCCGGCCTCTCTCCCTTCCTCTGGCAGCTGGGGGGGGGGGGGTTGTTGTCAGGCCAGCCACCTAAATCTCCATTTCAAAGCCTGCCTGTCAACTGCAAGCAGGAAGGCAGCCCGCACATATGCCAGGCAACAGTTTTGCCACCGTTCTGTTTTAACTTGGAAGAAAACATACCAAAAAGGTTTTTTTAAAAAAGAAAATGTGGTCATCTGGCAAAAATCTCTATAGGTCTTAAAGAGAGGACGGTTAGCTATTCCCCCCCACCCCAACGAGACAGTCACCGGCATTTTTTCCAAAATGGGCTGTGAGAGCCAAACTCTGCGAGGGTGGTGGGGGTGGGCTGTTACACTTACGGCGCTGGGGAGGGATGTTTTTAGGCCTTTGTTAGCAAAACGCCCCGGCCTGATATAAACTGTCTTGACATGGTCTTGTTTTTCTAAGTGTACAGAACCAGAAAAACAAGAAAAAAAAAAAAAAAAAAAAGGGGGGGGGGGGGGGGAGCCAAAGCCGTGGTCCCCACATTCCTTGGCAGAGGGAAGTCCCTTCTCTCCCCCTCGCCCCCCCCTTGGGTCTGTGCTGAAGCATTCTACGCTCAAGCGCCAGAAAAGGGTGGGGGTGCTTACAAAAAGTCTGGGTGTAGCCCCGTCTTGTGTGGGGCAAGCGGCTGAAACGTCTTTGCCAGGAAGGAAACTAATGAGATCCATCTGTCGATGCTCGGGCTGGGTTTGTAAGAGCCCTTGGAAAGGAGCCGTCCAGAAGGGAGTCCAAAAAACGGGGGGCGGGGGGGGGAGAGAAAAAATCCAGGAGAAGAGTCCAGGCGGCCTGCATCCTTCGGGTGGGTGGCGCTCCGCTCATCTGGAGGGCGGCACTTCTGGTGCCAAAGTCAACGTGAAAGGAAGGAGGAGTTCCCAAACTGGGTCACCGGAATGAATGCCAGGATGGACACATCCCATTCTGCGGGGGGCAGGGGGGAGAAAGATTCTGTGCACCCAAAAGCACTTGGCATTGCTCCTTAAAAAAAATAGTTGTGAAAAACACCCAAACATTCGGACTTTCCCCAAACCCCCACTTGCTCTTGCCTGAAGCAGGTCACTAGTGGGCCTTCCTCCCACGAGAGGCAACATCCAGCCACCAGAGAGCCACATCCCATTCAGTGTGTTTGCTCCTCCTTTCTCTAGCCGGACTGCTTTGATACCAGACCCATGACTGGAGCCTGGCAGGGTCCATCTGGTTTGCTTTAGTCACCATTGGACTTTTGGCATCCGACCACACTCTCTTCTCCGAGGCAGAGAGCGCGGGGGCGGGGCGGGCCGGCAACTGCCTTCTTCACCTTCATTCCATTAAGCAGGTTAAAAATAGAGAATCCACAGCTGCACCCCCCCTTCCTCCTCCCTCCTTGCAATACTTTAGGATGCCCTTTTCTTGGTTGTCTCCTTCTTGTTCTACACTGTTACTTTGGCCACCAATATTTTGGCACAAAGAAAAACGGTCTCTTGCACGCTCTCTCTCTCCATCCAGAGTTTTTTAAAACTCATTGAATGAGGAGGAAAACAAATGCCACTACATCAGCCTCCCTGTCAGTATTCTGCTAGAAGCAAGAAACTTCACTGTGTGTATAAAGCATACGAAATACACGAGCAACACTGCAAAGTTAGGCTGGCCATGTTCCTTCCCTCTTTTCTTAATCTCTGCTGTTTCTCCCATTCTCTCCCCTACCCCCCCGCGCCCCCCCCCCAAGT